GAACTTTTCCCTTTTGCATGTTGGGAGCGGTCGTGCCCTCTCTTTTCTGGTCGGTGGAACGGCTTCTTTTTCTTATTACCTTCAGTTTTTCAACGGGGAAACTTTATTTTCGTGTAGACCTCTCTACTCATAGCTGACTCTTGTGGTTGTCGTTGTGCCACCTTTGGAGATTGTGCCTGTCGTGCCGGATCCTGCAAAAGATCTTTAAATATTTACATTTTATTACGATTATGAAATGGTTTGATTTGAGCAATATTTGCTATGAACGTTTCACCATTCTTGGCTTTTAACACCACTACAGTTAAAGGGAAACTCTTGCCGTCTTATTAGCAGCGCAGAAATTTCGTGTACTTTGGAAGTGCCGTAGTTATAGTTTATTCAGATCATGTTGCCGTTGGTCGCTTGTATTCCAGTAAAATGTTTTCGCCGCGGCTTATCCGTTGTACTGTTAAATTACAGAAATTAAATCTCATAATTAAACACACGGCAGGAGAGGAATACTTCGTGGCGGATGCTCTGACAACAATTAAGATTGATGAAGAGTGGAATACTATTAGATGTACGATATTAATCTCGAAAGTAATTGAGTCCCGTGACACTATCATTGCAGAACTGAAATCTGATCCCGAGTTCACGAACATCCACATGCATATTTTAAGCATGTGGATGTTACAGCAGTAAGAAACAGGGCAGAGCACTATTAAGTCATTGATAAATTGTTGTTTTACACAAAATAACGTGTGTGTGATTATGTGTGTGTGTGATTATGGCAAAGCCTCGAGGGCTATCTGCCGAAAGGGAGGGATGCTTTTCGTGGAGGACTTTCTAAGGGAACTGGCTCGTATACACGTTACACATGGGGAAAACCACGTAAACGCCCATGCAGCCAGCCCGTTCGCGGGATTCGAACCTCGGACCGAACTACCAGTGTTCAGCGACTTTACCGCTCGGCCGCTGGTGGGCCACAAAATAACGAATGACAATCAAGAATACAGGCCAATGATTCCAGCGAGTCTACTTTTAAATATTCTACAAGCGTAACATGATTCGTCTCTTTCGGGCCACCGTGGTATCAGGAAAGGAGTGCAAAGGGTCTGGAAAGTGGTTTAGTTTCCGCAATTACAGAAAGTCGTGACAGCGTATGTCAGGCCATGCCATATGTGATAATTAATTATTGATGTTAATTATATCCTGGTCGGGTACTTGAATAATATTAAAATTACTTTTTCCAATGCGTTAGTGGGGATCTATTTGTTGGGTCCTTATCCCCGAAGTAGACTAAATAAAAATAGATACCTTAAACTCTCGTACATCATTTTTCGAAATGGGTAGACATGGACATTTAGGACAACACCACGGACATAGGGACTATAAAAATAAAAACAGTTGCTAGATCTTACGTGTTTGGGAATGGTATAGATAAAGATATTGAAAATACTGCTAAAAACTGTTCTGAATGTGCAAAACATGAAATAGATCCTCCTAAGATAAAAGTCCATCATTGGGAGTGCTCCAATGGAACGTATTCGCATTGATTATCAGGACCTATTTCTGAGCATATATTTCTGATAATCGTCGATGCTCACTCAAAATGGCTAGAAGCCTATCCAATGAAATCAAGCTCGACCTTCAGAACAATAAAATATTTACGGGACTTTTTTCCACGATTCGGATTACCAATATTGTTAGTGAGTAATAACGGGCCACAATTCACTTCACATGAACTTAAGGTATTTCTACAGAGTAACGTAATCAAACAAAAAACTACAGCACCATTTAAGCCATCGAGTAATGGGCAGGCTGAAGTAAAACAATCTTTAAGAACAATGCAAAATTATCCGGGAACTTTGAGACAAAACCTCAGTACACTTTTGACGCAATATACGAAAGCTCCGAATTTAACTACTCTACAGAGCCCTGCAATGCTAAAGCTGAAGAGGGAGATTCGAAAAAGAAATAGATTTATTGAGACCAGATCTCAAAAGTAGGGTAGAAGAGAGAGTTCGAAAAGGAATATACGAGCTTGCTGACCGAGGATTTAGTGTTGGCGATAATGCGGCGGCAGTGAGAAATTATCGGCAAGGTGACAGACGATGGAGATTTGGAATCGTCCAATCCAAGGATGGGCAGCTTCATTACACTGTAAAAGTAGATGGTCAGCTATGGCGGCGACATGTCGATCAGTTGCGTGATGGAGGAACCATAATTGATTTGGGTGCATACGTCCACCTCCAGCTCTCGTGATTTCCAAAGAGTATGATAAGAGTGGAGTTCCAGAATCATCCAGAGATAATAGCTACCAGGCAGGTTAAGTTTGTATCGTCTTCCAAGCCCAAGGTTGTACCCGGATGTTCCATCCACCGGACCTGCTGCTGATACAACCAGATTACCAAAAAACCTGCTGTGCCACAACCTTTGCGTCGGTCCAGTAGAATTCCCGCAGATAGACTTCAGTTGCGATAAAGGGGGAGGGATGTGGTATATCGAGAACTTAATCATAATCGTACTTAAAACTGGCACTGTGCCAAGCATCGCAAGCTCGCGAAGTAATTGTAAACCAGAACTAAGATGGGAACGCCCGTAATTTTAGACATACGTGTGCATGCGAGTGATGATGTGCTTTGTATATAGCAAAGTAGCATGTAGTTTAATACAGTGTCTTGTGAAATAATTATCTACTAAGGATATACAACAGAAATAGTTCCTCTTAAACGAGCGTCCGCAAAATTCCTGTCTGATTCATTTAAAAATAAATACATCTTAAAGTACTTTCTTTCTTTCCACCGACAGCGAGGCAGCCGGTCCACTGGGTAGTTAGCATATCGGCCAGGTATCTTAAAGTACTGGGAACTCATTAAAAGTAACATCCAATAACGGTAAGGAATTTATCAGTCAATAATTTGAAAATCTCTGCACAGGACTTGGACTACGCCATCTGAAAATCTTACCATATAGGCCGCAGTCGAATATAGCGGAACGCGTGAACATAAATATTGTTAAAATAATTCGGGGATACGCCAGAATGTAAATTTCCAGCACGCGGACTTTTCAAATTAAGTAGAAAGAAGGATGTATTTAAAGGAAGGTTCTGGTGGGTGAAATCAGAGCGTGATTTGCCTGCTTGAAGGTCACGGTGCTAACATTGATTCTCTAGCGATTCGAATTCTGAGACGTTGAATTATACTTGCCATTAGGCTTGTTTATGCCCGACTTCGCTCAGAGCCAACTTGCGCGCAAGGTATACTGGGAAGCCGTCAGGCTCTATTTAAATTTCATTAGTTTTTAGTTCATCCATTTGATTTACAGCCAAAATTATTGGCTTCTGTAAGTACGAATTGTTGCCGTCTGTTAAACTTTATTTGAATTAATAAAGTGTCCTTTATACCCTTTCCCTGTCTCTGTGGTACTTAGAAAACACAACGAAAACTCACCAGTTGTCTTTTAGAGTTCTGGTATAACTGTATGCTACCTAAGAAGGCCAACTCTTAGAAAGCAATATTATTTGTTTTCTTGAGTAAATTTTAGCTATGTTTCGTGTTCTGTAAAAACTACTATTGCTTGGGCCTACAATATACTCAAGGTTCTCTTCATCTAGACAGCTTACTCTGGACATCTTTCGTGAGTGTGTGTAATTGTGATGTATTTATAAGTTACATATTGTGCACTTGTACTGCTCTACGTCTGAAAAATTTAGGAACTTTTATTATTGTATGTATTAATATATCGAGTGTGCTATTAATATATATTGCATAACGATGCATTACTGCTGTCATAATTCAACATAGTAACACCAGTTTTTGATGTAAATTATCTCTATATTTCCTATATTGTATAATAAGCACTGGTATTGTAAGAATCCGCAATATGTCTGTCTTCCAACATCAGTCTCTGTTTGGAAGTGTTGTTCCTCTGGACAGTTGCGGGCTCCGGACGATACCCGAGAAGTCAGTAAAAGGCCCTATTGTCCGGACCCTGCTCTCACCTGTCACCTGGGAGTGTGTAAGTGGCTACCACATCCATGCAAGATCCGTGGTTCAAATTCTGGCGAGACCACAATTGATTATTTATGCTTCTTGGCGCGTAAAACGTAAATATTCTATACAGTGGCACTCGAACGAAAAACGTTGGGGATGAGAATTCCTCACTGCTTGGATCTGGTCGACTGGTCTCCTGTCTCTAACTGATCGACCTTTAAGTGACCAAGAATATAAGACATTAATGCAACCGCCTTGTGTGTGCTTTTTTAGTATAAGATATTTATAACATGTTTAGCTGGCAGCTATATGATGCGTGATTAGAGTCACAATGACTGTACCGTTGTTTTTCATGTTTTGGGGTCCGTAAACTCAATACCTCCCTGCATCTTTACGAATTTCTAAAACGCAATAATATATGTCTCTCTATCATAACGCAGCAATATCTGTATCTCTAATAAATATCTCTGTATGTATCAAAAAACAATATATATATATGTGGAAATCAACAACCAATGCTGAATTAGAATACCAGGATTATGACGTCATCACCGCACAGGGCAGTAAGAAGCATTCCAGAGAGCGTCAGATAGCGTCCAGATGTGGATGTGAATGCAGATGTGAGCAGACGGCTCGCATTTCTTCAAGAGTTGAAGAAGACAGACGGTCTTCTTTTGGAGTTTTGATTCTTCTTTTGATGTTTCACCTTTAGCTGTTATGCCTTTAGCTGATTATATTATTTAAAGCTACCTATGAATGTTTGTGTGAAAGGACTGTCTGTGCATCATTATATGAATCCGGTGGACTGTTAACTTAATCCTGCAACTTTACTCTTTACTTAATTTATCTTTATTACTTTCTGTTTCTTATTATCAAAATAAAAGCATGTAGCAATGCCATGCTCGTGCTCTCATGCTCTGATTTAAAAGAGAATCCTACATATATTGTTTTTTGGGCCTAGTATGACATTAAACTCTAGAAAATATATGGATTTGTGGGAATATAAAATTTAAAAAATCACGAATCTCATTAAAATTAACTTTATTATATAACTTCAATACACATGTAGCGTTTCATCGTCAAGTAAAATTATACATACAGTTTCCCTATAAACAAATTTACTGAAATTAGAATTTAGAGGTAGGGATACCTTTCCATACCAAACAATATTTTTCATTCTATAATATCACAGAAAAAACAGAATGTAACAAAGAAGGTAGACCATGAAATTATAACAACATGGGCACAACCTTCACATAACAGAAATTATCAATACACAACATCAGTTAATAACAAAACTAAAATAAAGCCATTATCAGTTAAACACAATTCTATAAGTAAACAGAAGTATATATACAACGCTGTAAGTTCTATATACAAGTGGACTGACTGAAGAAAAATGATATAACATTTCATATCCTCAGAAATTAATTCTCACTCTAACAAAGCAGTTGTATAATATATATATATATATATAAATGAAGCTCCTTTTTTCTAATAATCTAAACTCCCATTACTATTCGTTAAATGTGCTATAGCAAGCTCATATTTTTTAAACAGAAATATAGCAAGTTCTTATTTATTCACTGCGGTAAGTACTTTTATAGTTTTATGCTAAAACGCATTCTCCATGGATGATATTTATCTTGTATAACATAGATATATTTGAAGAAAAAACAATTTAGCATAATAACCAATGAGATACATGCCTTTTATATCAATATTTAGCAGTAGTTATTTTCTGTCGTTTGTTTGTGGGAATATTCTTCCCATTGCTGTACTTAATGCATTTTTTAAATGGATTAAAAATAGTTGAAAAGAAAAGTCTCACATTTTTTTTCCAAAAATCACTCTTAAGCATTTATTAAAAATTTAGCAATCCACTCTGAGGAATATGCAATGTTTATTCATATACTTCTTCATAAAGTTCTTAAAAGAAAATTATAAAAATGCGTGTTATTTACATATACAAATATAATCTGTAGAGCAATTATGGCACTACCCACCCTGAAACGTTTTTAGTCCGGCCACAATAGCAAAATTATTTTGCTGTTATTTTAGTGTTTTTAAGACTATAACTTAAACTATTGACTAAGTAGCTTAAGTTTATTTCGTAGAAATGACTATCATTGGGGAACACATGAAAAATATACAGAAACTATAACTATTTGTTGGCACTGTGGTTAGTAACTTAGAAACATGATAGAAGGATTAAAACATCTCTATTAAATTACCATGCTTCTCGCATGGGTACTTTCATCGTATAAAACAACGTGATAACGTCAACATGCTTCTTAGTTAAGCTCATGAGTAGTAAGAAGACCAAAAAGAGTATTACAACAAACGTAAAGTTTAATAAAGTATAATACATAAATGTTAAACATTTAGACGGCTCAAAAATGGAGTTGTAGATAGGAAAATCTGGATTTAAAGGCAACAATATTTTTTAATGTTTTATGGCTGCTATGCCAGGTAAATAAATTCACAAATATTGCTTTTGAAAAGATCTAGCCCTCTCTATTTTTAAATTATATATGTTACTAGGAAAAATGGTTCTTTAATAAAGCTGACGCACTGTAAACTTTGAACATAATTCTAAATAAAAAGGTTTGAAAGAATACCACAGTCTAAGCCATCTATTCGATATTAGTGTAAGGAATTTTACCATAAGCAATAAAATTGTATCCATTGGGCTCAATATAAGCCCTAAGATATATATAAAAAAACTCTTTAACTGGCCAACCATGTTATTTATTTTACTTAAAATATAAGAAATTGTTTTATAAATTCATAGGATGTTCTTACTTATTTCAAAACTATTTTACGATAAAGTTAATCTGAAACGAAAATAGGTAATATCAAAAAATTAAATAAATGCGACCTAGGAGAGGTTATTGTATACTGAATCTATAATTTAATTAGACAGAAATTTGTCCCACTGGTATCCTTTTTAAGCAGTTAATGCAAAGAAATTTAATAAAGAAAGTAGTAAAATAAATACGAATGAATATTTTTGAAAAATAAATAAGTTTAATAGATCCATACAGTGAATTTTTTAAATTCGCCTGTGGTTTTTAAAAATGCTTCCGGTAATCAAATAACGGCTACAATTGATTGATTTTAAAGGAACTACTGAAATAAGCTACGATACGTCAGGTACAAACTTTCGATGCAGAATATTATATTTGGTTACAGAATTCAGTTTAGTAGATATGACGTTTACCTGTGCTTTGCATTATAAATTGTACTAAATTCTGTAATTATATTACCTAAACTGATGGATCTTATTTCATCTTGCAAATCGAATTGCAGTATGTTAAGCGAATTATAACAAAATTTATTGTATATTTGTAATCTTATTATAATGATGAAAATTGCATGCTTTTGTGTAGAGCTAAAAGGGAACAAATCATCTAATAAATCATTTATATGGATGAAATTTCTCTTGCAAATAACCATGTTTAATTTTTTAAATTATAGATAAAAGGCATTTTCTGATCCTCGTGAAATTTAATTTTTAAGTTATTGAATTCAGCACTTACGTATTTATAATCTCAAGAGAGATTAGCTGTTTTATATAAATGATGTAATATTTACGGAATTTTTCCACGAAGATCAAATCATGCTTTATATATTCACAAATATAACGTTAATATATATATTATTTATATCATCAACACTTTAACAGCAACAATTTAATATAAAACATGTATGCCATTATAAATTTATACCTCATGGATGTGCTTTTAAGTTCAAATGACGTCAAAATTCACTTCTTGGCTTTTAAATGCCCCTGTCCAGATATCTATGCTCTTCATCGATGACTATATAAGAAGGGAACTTATGAAAAAGTCCTAAATGTCATTAGAATTTAGGTTCTTTTCTATCTACCGGGTAAGTTTTTAACAAACGAAGAATTCTCAAGTTATATTGCACTCTTACGGTACTGTAGATTGGTGGATCCAATAGGAGCCATTTTACATACAAAATATACAATAAACATATTAAAAGACAGTCACAAACATTATAATAAATCATATGCATTATAAGTTTCTGAAAACTGAAACGAATGGTGAACGAGTGAGATAACATAGCATGATGTGTATATATCACGAAATATAAAAATAGCAGTTTATTCTTAAAATGTCATTATAATATGCGTTATTCATTATAAAATACTAGCTATCCTAAATTACTTTCACAAATATTCCTGCATGAATGATGCGGATAAGGGAATGAAACCACATAATCACAATAGGAAATTTCCTGCTGTGCATATTCTATTTAATTGCAAAACACGAAAAAGAGCATTTTTAATAAAATTTCAGCAATCAAACAGGGGTAAATACTTAGTTAATTGGTTGATTATTTAGAATACGCACGACGTATTAAACGTATTTAAGAAAATTTCTATTCATCTGAAAAAATTCTAAGAATATATTTAATTTTATTTTCAGTGAAACAATTACCCATAACTCTACAGTGTAAGCATCTTCCAAAAGAGTTCTCTTCAGAATTTAAATGGTTTATATTAAAGGGTACTGAAAACATCAAGCTAATCAAGCTGCCGTTGTCCCCGAAAAGACATAATCATCTTGTCATCCAAAACTCTCAGTTATCAGAACGTTGCAAAATTATTATAAATTTCGAAAAATTACATTCTTATCAAAATTTCGTAAAGAAAAATCTCTGTCTAATGTTTATTAACTTGTATTTCTTTTTTTTATAACTTTTTTCTACGTCTGTATCAAAATTTAACTTTTTTTTTGAATAAATGACTATGCATTCAGCATCTAATCTAATTTCCATTTATTATGCAATAAAATGTTTTATTATCACAGTGAAACTTCGCGCTATTTAAATAATAGCATGAAGAAAAGAAGTTGCCCTAATTTTAGGCCACTGATTTATCGCGGTAAAAAGAGCCCTTTAACTAGAGTCTTTTTTTGCTTTCGTACAAAAAGATATTTGACGTTAATTTAACTAATTTCCGAGTCAGTATCAAATATTTATTTCTCTATAAGCTGCCAAAATACGCACTTAAGTCTCGTACATACAATAAACTTTTATAAATATTTATTATTAATGTAATATCACACTCCGTAACAGTCTAAATAAACTCAGTGCACGCAGAAAACCAACAGCAACTAGAAGTTATAAAGCAAAATATTAATTTACAAAAATACACTTACATCTACTAGTGAGCAGATATATAATATTTAGGAATAAAACTTGCATTTGGGTACTTGGAGAAATAAACCTTAGCAAGTACTGACGTACGTGAAATTGAAGCTGGAATTGAGTAAACAAACAACACTGAAAATGTTAAAATCTTCTGTAAACTTAATAGTATATAAACTATTTAAAAACAAGATATAATACAAAACGTTAGGGTATATTAATCTTAAAATGAAATGTTATTTAACAAATTTTCTCTCCGTTAGTTATAAGCGGACATCTTCATGCATGGCACGAAAATCATGAAATATCCCTATGAGAGATTTAATTGTGAATGATTTGATATTCATATGATATTTGATGTCCATGAATTATTAATGGCACGGTATACTCTAATATGAATAACATATGACACAATGTACATTTACATGAGTTATGTATGGCACAAATTTTAAAGTCAATTAGTTAAAAAGTTATAAAGATTGTTTTATACATTCCAGGCAAAAAGTAACACACAAAAAGTTTTCTGCAAATTATATACACATATATTGACATGCAAGTGATAATATATACAAATGACAAGCTGCGATAAATACTGCAATAAATAGCCTGAACAGTGATGAAAGAATAGATTATAACCATTTTCAACGAATCCTAACAAGTTTAAAAATTATTTATAGTAATGTGTAAATTTAATAATAACAGTTTCATGTGCTTTGGTAAATTAATAATCAGTTTATTACAGAATTTATTATTAAGAGCTCTTTTTTCGGAGGCAATGCAAATTTTTATTATTTATTTGAATGTTTTAAAAATACTTTTGGAAAGAAATTTTCTTTACTTAAGTGGTACAAAAATTTATTGAGGAAACATTCATTCGAAACATTTTTGGTTTTAATATAAAAAGTTTCTTAAAAGTTTAGAGTTTCTTTAAACTTTAAACTTGAACGCAGTAAATGTGTTATCATTTGCAATAAGCTAAAGTTTAATCCGATCAAGGTATTATTTGATAAATAATTTTATGAATTTACATAATTTACAAATTTTAAAATAAAAAAGTGAAATGCATCTCGGGGTCTGTGCTAGGAAGAGATGCTTTGTTTTGCTGGGGATGCATATTAAAAAAATGCTTAGGGCTGATACAAACACGAACGAATATCGCAGTTTAACGTTGAGGACGGAGCGTATAAACTGGGCACATAGACAAAGGTCTTGCAAAATCTGGGACGGAATATTGGACGATTTGTTTGTAGAGTAACAGTAGGATAGTAATTAAATCTGTAAGCTAACGAACACATCTATAACGAAATTTCCTAGCAGGGGTATCTGAATGCATTAGCACAGTGAGTCAAATTTAATATTTACAATTCGCTTCAAAAGTAAAGAACACATTAGAAAAATTTTAACAATACTTTCAAATGAAAGCATCTCAACAGCTCGTATATTTTAACTGCACCAGTGATACATGTACCTCTGACTGATTGTGCTGCATTAAGCTATGGTGACTGAAGAAATATTTAAGATTCATAAAGCTCTTTCAGTTAGATTTGTGAGTTTTAGATGAAAGATGTGTTTTAACAAAAACAGTTGATCTGATATAAATATTGCAATAACGGCAATTATGTGTGCTATAATGAAAACCGAAATTACTTTCAAAACTAATATAATACATATTATTTTCAATATTTCAAGATTTTATATAGTATGTATTACGCTGAAAGCAAAGAAGTTTGAAGTGAAACTTATGTTTCACCTCAGATGTAAGATTTCTGAAACATTTAAACTAGACTTACTCTTCGGACACAATACATTGTATGCTAGTTTACGTAGCGACTTATTTTTATTGAAGTTGATCCTATGCTGAAATCAATTTTAAGGTCGTTTTTATATCAATTTAGTCGTTCTAAATTGAATTAAAAATTTTCTAAGGAAGATTTATTGCAGTATTTATCATATTTAAAACATGTGCATGTGATGGTAAAGAGCGAAAACAATAGCAACTGGAAAGTAAAGTGAAGGGAAACATTATACATGAAAGAAAATAAAGTGAAAGTTCTGTGGCAACAACAGTGATAGTAATAATGAAGACAAATTCAAAATGTAAAATGAGAAATAATAATAGTTAAATTTATTAATAAACGAAATCCTTTTTCAAGCCTCTTTTTGTTTTCTTTTTATTTTCTCGGACTTAAAACTATTAATAGTAACATTTTTTTAGCAAGCGTCATTTCCATTTTACTGAAACCATTTAGGAGTAACATATCTGAGAATCAGCAAAAGTTAATTTGTAGAAAAGTTATTTTTATTTTTATTATATTCACTCTTACTGTTTCCTTCCATTTACTTTGTTTTCGCTCTTTTTATAGATTCCTGCCATCAAATATATATACAAGGTGCTCTTTTGTTATACATGTGTATGTACATATACACATTTCGCTCTTTATCAGCATAACAATGTATCAACTATGCTATACAGAGCAAAAAATAAATACACTTGGTTTCAGTAAGATTTTAGGATTAGTTAATTGAACTTGATAAATTTAAAAATATTTTAATTTGTGTTATATTTCGATGCAAAATTACATATTTTTAAACATGAAATTTGTTCAGATTGTATACGGCGCCATATTTATGAGAGATATTATTCAATGGCAATGATAATCGTTAAACTGCTACCCAATTTTAAAATCAGTTTCACATACCAATAGTATTAAGGAGATAATTCATAACCAAACATATTTTTCTTTTCTCTATATCAGGCTAACATTTTAGCTAAATTAACGGAAAGTAAAGACTTTTTACTTTTATGATATTAAAATTTAAAATCCATTCACGTAGCAAACACAAAAACAAATATAAACATCATTTTATGTATATATCTAAGGGCAACTAGGACCCTGGTGTGAAACACAACTGCTAGAATTAGAGCCAGGACCTTCTCCAGTGTTGTCATTTGATGAGTTTCCCGACCTGCCATATTTTTTAGTCTTCTGTTTTAAATGCACTTTTGCATGCCTTTTCTTTTCATCACTTCTGGCAAACTTACGACCACAGGTATCACAAGAGAAAGGTTTCTCTCCAGTATGGGTGCGTATGTGAGTTGTGAGGTGATCAGAACGACTAAAAGATCTCATACATATGCGACACTGGAAGGGCTTTTGTCCCGTGTGAATTCGAATATGCCTGGTTAATTCATCACTTCGTGAAAACCTTCTGTCACAAGGATCAATAGGGCAAGCATATGGTCGCTCATGAACTGGCGTTTTACTAGGTCGGTTGGGGTATTTTCGAGGTTTCACGGGTAAAAGTTTTAAAGGTACAGGACTATTTTGGTAAGCCTGATTCAATATTTCGTGTCCTTTGCTTGTAGACTGGTTATATTCAGCAAGAGTAGCTACACTGTGTGCAACAATTCCAATATCAGATTCCAACTTTGATGGTAAATTTGTAACCGATGGGCCAGGATCCATCGGAGGAGCATCTGTACCATTAGAAATGCAAAATTCAGTCAGAGAGGTTTGAAAATTTGACCACTGGTACTTAGGATAGAAATGTGCTTGAGATTTTTCGAAGAATTCATCTGTGCTGTTATTAAGAAGGGACTGTGTGGAGAAACCTCCAGCTAATAAAGCATCAGATGATGTGATGGTGTGACTGGAACAGGAACTGTATACAGGTGGCTGCTTTACAACGAAAGTTGATGGATCAAACTGGGATGAAACACTTAGTTGCAAAAGCAGTTCTTGTTGTGTGGGATCTGTCGTGCTGTCTAGAGAGAAAGCTGATTCGGCAGTAGCTGTCTCGCTTGTCTCAAAAGGACTAGCTGCTGGTGATGCAGTGTACTGTGAGGTAGATGGTACGGACGAAGGCCCAAGGTTCGAAATGGAAGCACCTAAGCCTGTAAGTCCTTGAACTGATTGCTGGGGCAAAATATTCAGAGAAAAGGCTTTCTCTGGATTGAACCAGGCACTTACCATGGAGGTGCTGTCCCCGGAGGGTGCCGTTCGTGTTGTAGTGGTGAAAGATCCCCGATACGTAATGCTTTGATTCGCATTTGACTGTTGAGGAAGAGTACTTGGAAACATAGCTCCTTGAGGTTTCTCTTCTTCCACTTCTTCTCCTAAAAGTTTAATTAATAATTAGTTCCCTTCTATATAATTAATAGGAATATCTTTTAAATAATGATGTTATCAAGGAACAAAATACTCCTCTATCATTCCTTTACAGAATACGCCAACATCTAACTGTAAATAAGCAATGAAGATATGAGGCATTAGGAAACATTTGAGCTGAATCTGATCACAAGGATATCTCCAGAAGTTGTATTAAAAGCAAAGAACAACGTATATCAAAATGCTATCACCAGAACAACAACAAAACAAAAAAAAGTTAAAAATGGCATAGAAAAACTGCACAACTATTTGGAAATTCAAGCGCGTTTCTTCAGAATTTGTAGAGAAGTTAAGTATTAAAGTAAAATTACTAGGTCTTAGAGAGAAGGAGAACTGCTACATGAAAGAGCACAATAGGTGAATACGTGAAATATCGAAATGAATTTCAATTAATCGATTGAATTAAGTAATTACTTGATTCCTAAGATTCAATATATTGAAGTATACACACACTGTGAATGCATAAAATTTTATAAAACGATAAGCTGAAAATAGTTAAGTGTATTCTTAAACAGTTCGACTAATTCCATCCTGTTTTCTTACGTTTCATAATGTTTACTAATGTTAAATGATTTTCCTAAACAGTTCATGACCATAACATGATGAAATGAACTGTTTAGGAAAATCATTATCACGTATTCCACGAGAGCTTTAGGCTAGGTAACGTCTTCTAACTCATCTTAAGAATCTTTTAAGTGAAATGAGCATAAAATGTCGCTGTTACATGTTGTTTATATATATAATGAGCATATAAAGTAATTTAACAAGCCAATCAAGTATTTTAGATAGGAAACAAAAGTGAATTTTAGGGAAACAAATATTTTTAATAATTATAATGCTGTCACATATTTATTAATCAGACAGTTCGTTAAAGCATATTAAGTGAAATATTGTTATAAATATTGTTTTGAATAAAACTTTTACGGATTTTCCAAAACTTCTGTTAAAATGTGACTTAATTAACCATAACTTGTACAAATGGATATCACGCTGAGGAAGCGTTTAAATTTGTTTTATGTGTTAAATTTATTTAGAATATTTTAACTAACAAATAAGGAGAAGATTATTTTTCCTATTTATTTATTATTTCCTGTAGTTAACATACAAGAAAGGAACAACAATTCTTTGTTTGCAACTTTGTATTCATCAAATTTCTCATATTTATGAAATTTGAAACATATACAAAAGAATCTGATTCATGATCTCCCTTTCCTAAGTATTTTATAATTCATGTCATATCATGAACACAATAAACGAATTTTAGGAGTTTTAATATTGATTACTGAAATATGGTATACTTTTGAAACATGTTCTTGTTTATTTCAAAAGGAAACAGCGACAAGGCAAAAAGTTTTATTTATTAAAATTTTTCCATCCTCTTACTTTCTGTTGATAAGTTGATAAGCAATAATTCTCTTTGTTCAGCAAGATCCCCTTTTAAATGAGACGACACTTCAACAAATCAATAATTGTAAAAAGTATAGCATATATACACTGCTCGTCATTAAAATTGCAACACCAGGAAGGACTGATCCGACGAATGTCAAAATCATATGAAAGGAAGAGGTTGGGATATGCAAATGATGAGTATTTCAGCGCATTTAGACGACGCTAGAGGAAGAAACGACATCTGAAGCACTGCATAAAAGAAGCTTTGTGTAGTGGATTTCTCATTCGGAAAGTGCTTTTCGAGGTTGGAGTTTGCTCAGAATACCGTGTTATTCCTCGAATAAGAAGAGGAAACGCATGTTTCGAAATTCGATAGAGGCAGGATCGTTGCCTACAGAAAGTGTAGATTATCGTTCTGTGATATCGCCGGTCGCACTGGTCGACATCCAACCACTGTCATGCGAATATGGAATTAGTAGATTGCTGAGGGTTATACTGAACGGGATGCAGGATTTTAACTCTCTCCTATGACTAACGCCAGAGAGGACAGTCATAATTTGAGGTCAGCTCTGCAAAACCCTGCGACCACATCACGGGCCATTAGTCAGGAAATGGGGATGTTTGCAACATGCCCAGTATCAGCTCGTTAGGTGCGTCGACGTTTGCAGCAGCGTGGACTCATATCAGGGTGACAATTATTTTGGCTTCTTTGACAAAGCATAGAGAGAGACGGCGACTCTGGTGCGCCAAACGACGAAGCTGGGTACAGGAGAGGCACAATGTCGCCTTTTCAAGCGTGTCTCGGTTCTACGTTCAGTATTCTGATGGCCGTATACGTGTCTGGAGTGTCCGCACGTCGCCTACTTGCATTCGATATCGGCATAGGGGCCCTGCCCTGGTGTGATGGTCTGGGCAGCCTTTGCGTACAGACACGTACATCTCTAGTTCGGATCGACTGTAATTTGAACGCAGATCAGTACATTTCTGATATTTTACGTCCAGTGGTTGTGCCCTATCTTCGAGGCTCCCAGGCGCCATGTTCCAACAAGATAATGCAAGATCACATGTTACACGTTGTGTTCTGACCTTCTTCGATACACAGAGTATTCAATTGCTGCCCTGGCCTTCACGGTCTCCAGGTCTGTCACTCATTGAAAACATCTGGTCATGGGTTGCTGAGAGACTAACCCACCACCCTCTCCAGTTAATACGGTTGATGAGGTGTGACATAGACTTGAAGCAACATGGAATGAGTTGCCCATTTGCGTCATCCAAGCCATGCCTAATGGGTTAAGGGCTGTTTTAGCTGCCAGGGATGGCAGCTGTTTCTACTAATTTCGGACCCCTGTAGACCTCCCAAATGCTTACAAATTTAATCATTTTGTCTTCACGCCACGCTGTTTACGTTCAAGAAATATCTTTTTGTATTTGCTTTCTTTCATGGTGTTGCAATTTTGATGGCCAGCAATGTATTTACCTTTCAAAAAATACCACATCCCGGCGTGATCTCTCTCTTCCTCTGTCCTGCTGGTAATCAACGCCCCACGGTGTTAGTTTCCTAGGCGGAAAGCTTGCTATTGAGGGGCGACTATTTGGCCAATAGCAAAAAAAAAAAAAAAAAAAAAAAAAAAAATTCATTTCTCAATTTTGTTACGAAGAGGTTGCTAACAGAAGTCCGCCTTTTTCAATGATATGTCAAATCGGCCTTTTTTCACACATTTTACTTTTACAATCCTTCATTAAATTATTCCTCTGATTTAACAATTCTCATATACCTCCCAATCTTTAAAAAATAATAGGATTACCTTATCTATCTACCAAGATAAATACCTGTCGATAAGCAAAATGTTAAACATGATTCATGAAAGATTCACTAAGAATATATCAAAGTGATTTAATTATATTAATCCTCATCATTTTCTTCCTATCCGCACACGTTATTGGGACCCGAACAAAGCAATACATTCCTTCTCCAAAGACTTATAAAGTATTATAAATAAAGTCAGCATAAAATTTACAATATAGCAATATTATTTTTTGACTTATAAACAAATTAAAAAAACCTAAACAAATAACATAAACGATAAAAAATTTGTGTGCAGAACTTATATCTTTTTTTATTTATATTGCCTTTGAATGATTTCCAAAGCATCCGCAAAAGCACAATCTAGTACAAATGGAGAATTATACTCCACACAACCACCTTTGCGTTTCTGCCTCTAAGTCAGAAATTGTAGGCCCTATATCTAACGCCTCCCTCACTGCGCGCCTTGTAGTGTAACTGGTAGCTCCAGAATTCGAATCCAGGAGACGGCATAGCTTATTTTTCGATTTTCATGTCTCCAAAAAAGCCTAAGAAAACTCTGTAAGCGTCGCCCAACTAAAAATGTGGTGGACGATAATTCCTCATCACCTGGATTTGGTGACTGTCTCTTCTTCCTCTTCAGTCGCTCTTTAATTAAGTGGAGAAGAAAGTAAGGAATTTTCTCCTTTCCCACTGTGGCTTTTAATAAAAGTTGTTTCAGATCCAGATGATAGTTTGAAGATCTGATGTTTGAATTGCGACGAAGACACAGAGTACTTTCTGTCGTTTCTCACTCCAAAATGTTCTTAGTCTCTTTACAAATTCACTGAAATTTTCACACGTTTATCGACTTTTGAATCATCTTATGTAATATTACGTTTACGGGTGAACGAAAGATGGAAAGCAGAAAACTATTTAGCAACAGATACCATACATTATAAATAAATAAAAATGAATAAAAATTTAATTGTAAGATAAATTTAGCAGTGCATACTGTAGAAATATGTGAATATATATTTTTCTATTTAAAAAATATTTATTCATATATTTCTCTAATTTTTATATGAAATATTAACAAACTTCTGTAGTTCAACGTCCATTATATTTAACTCCTGTAGTTTAGAGTTGGTTATATTTGTTTATTTATTTTATTGTAATTGTAAATAAAAATATCTTTATTTTCTATAAAAGTGATCTGCATAAAAAACTTCCGGTTTCATAAAAGTATTTACAAGGAAATACAAACAAAAAGAAATTCTACAGAACATGCTTTCCCGACGGTGTCACTTTCTGAGTTTGGGAACATTTTTATTACTTGCGGAATTTTCTTACTTTCAGCAAAGTTACAGTCATTGTAAAAACGAATTAATTGTGCTTAGAATCAATATACACATTTATCCGACCTAAAATTTGAAATTTTCAGTGATGAAATGTTTCTTTGCTCTACAGGAGGAGAAAAATGAAAGGAGAATTTTAATTGTGGGAATTAAGATTACGAGACTGGCTGCCTACATGATTACAGATCCGCTATTACGTACATTTTACAGGTAAAATTTCTGTCTCTCTGTATGTGTATTTTTGTGAGTCTCTAACTGGGTATTCTAAAATATTGAGTTGATGAGAATGTCTAAGGTTAAAAGATACATATAAAAGGCAAAGATAAGTGAGAAATTTAAACACATATTATAACACAAACTTATAACAGTAAAACTTAAAACTAAATTTTAAAATATAATCTGTCGAAAGGAAATATTT